AATTGTGGCATTTGATTGGCAGAGAGCAAACTTGTCATACAAATTTAGCATTTAATATATTCATAACAAGTTTTACGTAACAGGGCCATGATATCCAAATAGATACAATATTACCAGATTTTTTACATAATAGTAGCTGAGAATATAGTTTATTCATGGTAAAGGTTTGGGAAACTTTAAATTAACTTGTAGTACTTTCTTTCTCCATCAGATGAAATACGAAATTGCAGAAAATCAATGGTGATGATGAAATCATTCCAATTATTAAAATGTGAAGAATACTTGAATACCAAGAAAGCAAATTGCAACTCTGAAGGTTGGATTTCATTGATACAAGGTAATAATACTTGTAAAAACCTACTGAGTATATATTCTTTTAGAACATAGCAAAGATATGTAATTTCAAAGGATGATTATTATCGTTATGTCAATGTTTCTCAAGGGATAGAGTATTCTGATACGGATAATATGCATGCAAACTGCTATAAAACATCAAGTTGCTGTGAGCACACACATGTGAAACAATTAAGCATTTTTAAGCAGGATCGAGTAAAAGCAATGAATGAATGATCAACCTAACTTGCATATCTCAAATCACATAGAGATAATTTGTAGTTTTCAAATTATTATTTGCTTCATGTTTCCCTTGTAATGTAATTTTCCACAGTTAAGTAATCTTAAGAAGGTGCGACAGTGAAGCCTTACTATACTAATTGCAGTACAAAAAAAACAACACAATGTACATGGACATGTAGACTACGCAAACTAGAACACAACCGAATGTGAAATCCTTATGAATGAACCTATTAAAGCAAGGTGAATAAAAAAAGATTCTCACAAAATAGCAAGATGAGCAAAAAGAATATATAAGATACAATTACTGTCACAGATTGTGTTTGTAAATACCTAGATTTTCAACTACGGTAAAAGAAAAAACATCAACACGACTTCTTGCAGGCTTCAAACAAAGAAAGAAGAAAAAAAGGGGGGGGGGCAATGATTTTTACTGTATAGAGACATGGTGGAGGGGTGCAATACTGCCCCCCTCATCATGCTCCTAATCAAACTAACTTTTTGAGAGTGATTAAAGGTACTGGATCACTCACATCACTTGGTTATATAAAAACACTGGTGATGTTCATTGTGGATCCAAACTGCCTTGACTTCACAGTGATATACCACTATTCAAGAGGAAAGTTAAAAAAAAGTCACCCACAAAAGAAATCGTAGTCACAGAGCTGCGGTGAAGAGGTCATCACAGATGTAACATTTTAAAACTTTTTCTCAAATTTCCTAAGATCTTCACTGAGTCATATTTTGTTGTACTTTCGTCCTACATTGGAGTTTCCCATTGAATGTTAAAATGTATTCATTTTGTAATCAATTAAAAAAAAAAAAAAAATCATGTTTGCTCCCATCATTCTACCATAAAAGTCAACAGTTCAAAAGAGTTCCGTTCCTATCTAACGAGCACAGACATTACATGGATGTTCCCCTTTAGTGCATCTTAACTGAAGCTCACCTTTCTGCAACAATTGCTTGATTCATTCGATGACGTCGAGTCTCAAGACGGCTGAGCAAAGTGTGAACCAAAGCACACAAAACAAACGCTTCCCTTGCTTTTGCAATTGTCATGGAAGAATGAGCAGAAACATTTTGTCTTTAGTGGTAACCAAAAATACTTTAAACTTTAATGTTCCCTTTCTTTTTAAGTTTTATTTGGCTTTCAGAACATATTATCTGATCTACCAATCACGGAGAGGGGGAAAGAGAGAGAGAGAGAGAGAGAGAGAGAGAGCGATAGAAAGAGAGAGAAAGAGAGAGAGAGAAAGAGAGAGAGAGAAAGAGAGAGATAGAGAGAGAGAAAAAGGGGGGGGGGGCGAGAGAAGGTAAATGAGAGAGAGAGGGGGGAGAGATAGGAGTATAATGACAAAACTAAGAATCACTCTCTTTTTCATTAAAACCCCATTGTGATCCAATTCTGCTAGATAAACACAGATTATCTTCCCTCATTCAATAACAATAGAAAAGCAAAGTGCTCAGACTGTGTGCAAATACCCTACACCTTAGCACAGTCACAATATGGATACAACACCTCAACCACTGGCGAGACGGACTCATATACTGCCGATGTTGGAAAGGACTGTTGGAAGGATTGGAGGGAATGAAAAACACATCAGGGGGGACTGTTTTACAAAGATCCTAAGTTGCACTTATCTCAAAGTTGGACTTACAATTATGGAAACCCACTAGCATCTTTGAAAATATTTTGTAAAAGATATTTTAAAAGGCATGAAATGTGCTTTCAAATCATTCATTTTTTCTTTTATCAAGGAGATTTCATGTTCTTGTTGTGGAATTAATAAATAGTCTAAAATACTTGAGTTTTTGCTTTGGAATATATTTTATTCTAAGGCTACGAATGGCTCTTCATAATTTTTAAGTCCAACTTAGAGTTAAGTTCAACTTAAAATCTTTGTGAAACACCCCCTAGGATAGGTACATGCAGTTTACATGTACTCCCCTACATAATAAAAGAAATACAGTATAGACAATTGATTGTGCATTGTATAAAGATACATATACCATATATGATAAATGCATGATACTGATAACTGTGTATCATTGTATTCATAAACATTATATAAAGAATCCTTTTTGTTTAGGGTTAGAGTTTCAGAAAGAGCCCCAGAGAAGTGTGTAGTTGTGTACAATCCTCACAATATATGACAATTACATAACAAGTTAATTAGTGAAGCCTTTATTCTTTAGAAAAAAGAGACAAATTACCCCTAGATCATACCCCACCAGTAATGCGATGCAATATCTGATTCACTTAGCAATTTGGATGTTTACTTGTTGACAAAATGTAAGAATAAAAATGTTAATTACATTCCTAATATATTAGTATACCTTCATGAAGCTATTGCTTTGATTCTCCATTTTATTAATTAAATACAGACATATCAAAACCTAATTAAACAAAATGTTGTTTACTGATAAACAAGATGATAAACCTTTGCTGATGGGCTGTAGATTGTATGCAAATGAGTTCAAACTACATCAGATTCTGAACTAGCCAATTAAGCCAGATTTGCAAAAATATATGTAGCTAGAAACAACAGATGTTGTGTCTCTATCAAATACATTTCACTGTTTATTTCTCTCTGTAATATACTAAATATAGGATTAAAATAGCAATTTCTACAGTTTTTCATCCAGCATGACTGTGTATTACTCTATCTATGTCATGAGATAACAATAATTCTATAATTTTGCATCACTTTGAGTTTGTAACATAAAACAGCATGCACTATAATATAATGTCTGTATTTTCATATGTTTTTAATGCATTCCAAAGATATGTATCTAGTTGATCTTTTTAACCAACATCTTTATAACAAGTTTCAGTCATTTCTTCTTTCAGATCAATAGCTTAACTTTGATCCACATAAAGAGGAGAAACTGAAGAAAAACATAAAAATAAAGCAATAAATCTGCTGAAAATGGTTACTCATAATATTTGGTACGGTTACTATGACTTTGAGACAAAACCAAATAGGACCCTCTAAGCAATATAGCCTCTGACTCAATTTACACATATTTGTTGACATTGTCAAACATACTTAACATACAACTACAGTTTTCTCAAGGTTTCTAACGCATTGAATACAAAACAGCTATGGTGTCTTTAAAGGCATAGGCATTTATAATAAGGAAATGGTTCTTAGAACCAAGTCTAATTTCAAACTTGTACAGAATTCCTGTTCAAATGTTATAATTTATTTATAAAGGTTTGCTTTTTGGAAATGTATACATCTTGATTACATTATCACATGATTTCTAACATTTTTTTTGGGCATAGGACAGTGACAAACAGCCAACCATACAGAATTATTTCCTTTTCAATCTCCATAATGACACTCAATACAACTGCCTTTAATAATAAATTAACCCATTTCTTATTTTGGGAATTGAGGATGATTTTATAAGTGTAGAAGGGGAAATAATTGTTTTCACTCCTATGAGAGTATCGAAAGTTCTCTCTGTAAAATAATTAAATAAAATGGGCATTTACATGGAAATCATATTGGACAAGCTTTTCCTGTTGCTTTATGATCCCAACACAAATCTATATGATGTGGGACTATTATGGAGGATTAATTTTTAGTCCTGCATCATAAACTTTCAAAATTGGATTGGATTAATTGGATTAAAGAGAGCAGATCCCCAGAAACTGTTTTGAGTTTCTCAATATGGAGCGAGCGAGTCATTTTATCGCGGTGTGCCTTTTAGTTTTTGCTAGCATTTGTGAGCATTAATTCATTTTAACATTCTAATATAAGCTTAGCAAAAAACCCTAGAAGCGCAAGGGAATTTTCTCTTTACTGCATTGATGATATGAACATGACTAGCCATGAAAATTAGAAAAGGTACATGAAATTTAAGCATTGCCTAAGAAGTGCAAAATTGTTTAGTTAATTAGAGAAACCTGTAGTACAGTTCTTTCACACATATTGGTTTCTACACCCATTTTATAGCAATCCATCACATTAATTTTTTTTTTTTATTATTGCTTGACCAATACCACGGACGGTGAACATAGAAGGAATATTTTTCACAGGGTAGAAATGTTGAAGACGGACACACAATTGATCATCACATCCATCCAATACATATGCCCGGATATTCTACAATTTTATCATAGATAATAGAAACATTCACTAATGATCAATAAAAACAAAGTTCTATAAAATGATATTATAGGAACACAATATCAATCTTTCAAAACATAAGGCATAAAAGTCAAAAGGAAAAAGTCTTGGAGAAGAAAAGTAAATACATATAAAATATATACAGATGAAAACCCTAACAGAAACCAAGTCTTCTTTTGTCACAAAATGAACAGTCAATTCTACGATAACAATAAAGCATTTAACAATGAAGGTAGTTTGAATACATTAAAATTTCAACACTAAAAGGTGAATCTTTCAACTGCTTTTTACTTGACTTTAAAAAAAAGCCAGGCCAGTTTCAGTAAAGTGTAATAAGTTCTTTGGATTTAAATGTAGTTACTAAAGGTTACTAAAGGTACAATATGGAAGTTCAGAACACAAGCAATGTTCTACTATAGCTTACTTACAAGCAGGGAAAAAATGCATGAGGGCTCGGGGCGAATTAGCCCCCTAAATGCCAAAAAGAGCCCCCGAAAGTCATAAAAGAGCCCCCCAAAATTGCATAGAGTCCAATGCAAAACAAAATAAAGACTGTTATTTTCATGCAAACAAGCTTGAAAGTAGCCCCCGAAATTGTTAAAGTATTTTTTTCCCTGCTTACAAGAAGATATCAAACTATCAATGGTATTTATGGTATCTTTAAATTTCTAATTCAAAGACTGAATGACATATTTTGTTTCATTTCGTTTAATTTTAAACCAAAGTTTAAAGAACAGATTCACACCATTAGGGCCATTAAATTAATAGCTCTGAATAGAGCAATCCAGCCATATTCTTTTAAAATAATTACGTTATTTTATATGTTCATATGTCTTTTTTTATAAGGAAAAGGACATTGAAAAAAACAAAAGTAGCTCAAAGTTAGACTGCATGCGCTAACCCATGCAGTCGTTGTGCGTAACAGTGTCTGCACTATGAGACTACAATAGGGTCTGCTCAAGGTTTTAGGACTTGTTAAAGTGTCAAACTAGAGTCTGTGCTCGCAGACTAACTCCTAGTCAGGTTTGAACTTTGTAATGACTTGCAGGGATACGAGTACAAGGAAACAACATTTTTTTGCATCCAACATTTCTTTAAAGGTTACTTGTATCACAGGAGCACATAATGAGATCTTGAGTAGTAGCTTGATCATATTTCACAAACACAAAGCTTCCCTCCTTGTTTTTCAAAATGAGCATTTTACATTCTATATGCAGCATAAATCAATTAACAAAGGCCCTGTAAAATTAAAAAAATCATGTAAAATCAGTTGTGGATCCTTTTACTGTACACTCTTTAGCTACATGAATCGGTTGAGGAGTAAAACTACTTATTTTGATTACATATAAAATCTCTCTTACAATTTTATGGCACAGGAACTGATGGTACAATCAAGGGGCCTGAACAAAAGAGCCAGTAATTTCTCTTGGCCTTACGTATAGAACACAAGTTTTATGAAACCGGACCCAGAACTTATAATCATGTAACCTAGATATAAAACTGAGATGATCTTCGCAAAATGCATACAATTAATTGCAAGGCCTACATTTTTTGCTTCTCCAAACACACAAATTAATTTCTTTCAATTTCTATTCTTAAATATTGCAGCATACATCTACTGAACACCTCTATGATATACAAGCCAGTACATGTTATCTCGAAGAGTAAAATAACTATAAAAGGTCAGAAAATCAACAGTTTTTCTTCTCTGTCAAATAGTTCTGGTTAAAGAGCAAAGCAACTTTGAAAAGTTGTGTTAATATAGATTTTAGAATCTCTAAGCTTGCAGCAAGTAGTATGGCTCTCTACCATTCCATCTTTTGTTTTATACTCTGTAAATATCAATGTTAAACTGTTGAAAAATAAATAACAGTTCACAATCCTTCAATAATTTGCTTCAAAGGAGAGTAACAGTCGTGTTGAAATGTTAGAATAAATAACTTAAGGGAAGTTTCTGGAATAATCAACCAGGCTGTCTTCTTCATGTAAACATTTAAAATAACTGCATGATACACATGCTGGAAACCTGAATATGGGAAGGACTGTTACAATTGAATATAATATTGATCTTAAATAGTGAGGAACTTCATTAATTCCTCATAACTAATGACATTGCTCTTAATAGATGATAATAAATAAATAAATCTCTACACAAAATAACTGAAGTGTGGTTGGGTATTATCATGCACGTGGGGGCAGCAGACAAGTTGTCTGTTTTAGGATGACTACTTCGTGAGAACAGAACCAGTTTTCTCTAAGAAATATTACTTTGGAATATCCAGATTAAATATGAATATGAACCATCGTCTTTTATCTTCCTCTTCAAACCTTGTTACTTTGAATCGAGTCTCTATCTCGGTTAGCAATGTCAACTCTGATGGCTGCTGTAAGCAGGACAGCCATTGGTTAGGATCACATACTTTTGGAACTCCTGAAACAGGGCCAGTTCTGTTCGGTCGGTGGATGAGGTGACACTCCTGGGCCCCATTTCACAAAACTTGTCATCAGTGACAAATGACAGTTTTTGTTATAAGCTACTGAAATCCCTGCTTTTGATTGGTTATCAGCAGATTTGTCACTGACTTTTGTCATTTGTCATTGAAAGAAGTCTTTGTGAGATGGAGCCCAGGACGAAAGGAGATGGATCACTTGAATACATTGTCTCTTCCTCTCAGTTTGCGAGGACTTGGGACATGGATAACATCGGCTGGCATCGCTTGCTTGAGAAACCTTGATGAGTTTCCGGATCGGGGTCCACTGGACTACTGGACAAACTAGATGAATAATCAAGGCTCTCTCTCGCCTGGTAAGCAACACCACGTCATCAAGATCCTGCCCTTGTTGACATCATCAGGGAATCACTTGCTTGAGGACCTATTAATATTAGTTCCTGGAGTGGGGCCAGCTCGTACTCACCGACGTTGAACTCCTGAACAAACTAGATAGACTGCTCATACCAAGACTCCATCTTGTTAAACAAGGATCCAACATCCAATGACATTGATCACTCGTTTCAAAACCTATCGCTAAGTTCCTGGAGCGGGGACTGCTTCCAGTTGCTGAGGTTAAAGTCCTGGATAAACTACAAGAATCGCTTCTATCGAGTCTCTATCTCAATGGCGTTCCCACATCTATCACTTGTTTGAGAATCTATCAATGAGTTCCTGGAGCGGTGCCAGCTCTTTCCTGTCGATAAGGTTGAACTCCTGGACGAAGTAGATGAAGTGCTTGAATGAGGTGTTGAGATGGGCTTCTTCCGCCAAGATGACGATCTCCTTGAAGTGCTGGTGGTAGATGTGGGCGTACACCCGGAATAACCTCTTCAGAATCGTCTTGGCTATTGTCATAAAGTTCTTGGGAAAAGGCACACCTGTTGGAGTTTGGTAAGGGAAGAAGGGAGAGAGGAGAGAGGAAAAAGGAGGGAGGGAGGGAGGGATGGAGAGAGGGTAAGAGGGAGGGAGGGAGGGAGGGAGGGAGGGAGGGAGGGAGGGAGGGAAAGAGAGAGAGAGAGAGAGAGAGAGAGAGAGAGAGAGAGAGAGAGAGAGAGAGAGAGAGAGATAGATAGAGTTGTATATTAAAAACCATAAGTCTTCTATGAGGGGTACAAAAGTATCTGAACACAACAAAAAAGGTTTTCTTTCATTTGTGTAGGATACTACCAACATATATCTGAAAACAATATTAAATACATTGAGAAAAGATACTATAACTTCTTTGATCTAATATTTCAAATTCAATAAGTACATAATGATGAAATTCCACAAAAACTTTGTTATAATGGGAAAGTAAAACCATGAAATATTTTAAGATGAGAATTTTTTGTTAATGCTTGCCAATTTATCCTCTACCCGCTGTACCCGGTACTTAATGGTGAAATGAAAAGTGAAATACCTCTCAATCCCCTTCACAGCCTGAACCAACATTTATCTTAAAAATCAGTCCTATATATATCCTTCTTTTTTCCCCAATTTCCAATCCCCCAAGTTCTCAATGTAATTCCCAAGAAGAAAGCAAAATCATTCTACAAACCTATTTTTGAAGGGAATATTGTTTCGTCGTCCAGTTGATCCTGGACCCACGTCATGAGGTAGTCGATGTACTTGGGCGCTGAACACTTGATGGGTTTCTTCACTGTCTGCCCATCTGCCCAATGATATTCATACCTGGATGAAAAAAAATATGTGCAATATAATATTACAATTATAATACATGTACCTATCTACAGGTGTATGAAACAATTTTGGACAAAATGTGATATAGGATGATTCCGTGTCATGTGTTCTGTACCACAAAACTATTATCCAGCACTTTTTCATTCAAAACAAAACAAAAAATAAAAAAATATTGACCTATCGTTGAATAATAGTAGTGCTCTGATATAGTCATTAGTCAATGGTCAGATCAAGGGACTTAAAATGTTTGGATGAAATAAAGGGATGAAATAAAGGGATAAAAATCATAGAGTCATACAGGACACACTGTGTGATGAGCAAATGTGAATTGTTCTGAAGTTGGACCCACGTCCTGAGGTAGTCGATTAACTTGGACTTCGACTTGGGGGATTATTGAATATTCATCTTTAAAAACCTGACCAAGGCACATAAGTCTATGAAGAAATATTGGGACATTTTGTTATCATGTACTTTAATATTAAGGTTATTTGACACAGACAATGTTGCTTGTGTGAGGTCGACTGTATGAAGAGACAGTTAAAGACTTACTTTGGTCCAGCAGACATGACGGGACATTTGTCTGTTGTGCAGAACTCTGTGATGGTACCATATAACATGTTGATTTGATTGAAGAAGTCCACCGCTGCATAGGGAAGAGACAAAAGAGAAGATACATGAACATGTGTTGACTTGTAATACTTAATAAGAAATGTTTGGAGATACATGTTGTAAAAAAGGAGAAATGAAGAGAAGGAAAAAAAAGAACAGGCAGGGGCAATTTAAAACGTTAAAAATGGGGTAATGAGCATCTAGACAAGGAGAATAAAGTAAGAGGGGGCAAGAAATAGAGGAGAAAGATAAAGAGGTGGGGGAGAAAGGGAAATGGAAAAGAGACACAGGGGAAAATGACAGAGAAGGAAAAAAGGGAAAGAAAAATGAGAGAGAAAAGGGAGAGAGAAAAGGGAGAGAGAAAAAGAGAAAGAGAGAGGAAGCAGACTAGGAGAGGACAAAGAAAATGAAGAGAAATAAAGAAAGAGAGAGAGAGAGATAGATATATAGAGATAGAAAGAGAGATATAGAAAGAGAGAGAGAGAGGGAGAGAGAGAGAGATAGAGAAATAGAGAGAGAAATATAGAGAGAGAAATAGAGAGAGAGAGAGAGAGAGAGAGAGAGAGAGAGAGAGTAGGAGAGAGAGAGTAGGGGAGAGAAGAGGCGGAGAAGTGGAGAAAAAGGAAGATACACTAAAGAAATACCAAGAAACTTATATGCAATATCTAATGATTAAACATGCAAGCCAGCTAACATTTTCTTTGAAAAGATGCATTCAAAAATCCAACGTAAGAAATCTAAGCGGCTCTACGTACATGTGTACATGAACATCGTGTACAACATATACATGTAGCTAATCACTTTCCCTTCTATTCATGTAGATGATGACGTACAATCATCAAAAGGCCCCTATGGTTAATGATTAATCTCAATTAGGGTACACAATGATCGATACATGAACACCACACATCTTCAGGGAGAAAGCATGTTATACAAACCCATCAATATCCAGTGTCTATGGATACACTGGAGAGGAGGAAGGGGTAGGGAGGGGTAAGGGGGAGGGGAGGGGGTAAGGGGGTAAGGGGGAGGGGAGGGGTAAGGGGGAGGGGGGTAAGGGGGAGAGGGGTAAGGGGGAGGGGGTGAGGGGTAAGGGGGAGGGGGTAAGGGGAGGGGGGGGGGTAAGGGGGAGGGCGCTTCAAGCTAAACATGAGGCATATCCCCCTGGCAAAAGTCTAGTTTGATAGATGCTTACACACACACAAAATTTTTCCCCCTCCTTGCACAATTTTCTATGATAATAATTTTTAAAAAGCATCAGAAAATGTGATATTTTTCCTCTTTTTCACTTTTTGTGTTCCTTTTCTTGTTATTTGCCTTCAGGAGTAAATTAGCTAATTAGCGCCTACAAATGTGACCATTTTCATTTTATATAGCTTGACAGTTGTCGAGAGATTTTTCTGACTTGTGCCCCCTCCCCCCCCCCCCCCCCCCAACAGAAACCAGGACCAATTTGTGAGATGTTTTGAGGGAAGAACCACAATATACCCATGGTATTTGGCATGACCCCCCCCCCTCCAAAAAAAAAAAAAAGATATATATATATATATTAGAATTACTAAGTGGTTCACTCTTTCCCCAAGTCATGTACAAATTGCTAGATAAAATACCAAGTACCGGTACATTTGTGAACTTGTCTACCTGCTACTCCACTGCCTCTAATAATAGACCTTACAAGACATCAGATAAAACAAACAACCTGAGTACACAGTATGTCAAAATGTCTATGAACATAATTCAACACACTGTGTACTAAAGGATATAATCAAATAATTCTAATATGATTATGAATGACATGTACTATGTACATACACTGTACTTGTAGTTTCTCTTTATACTTGTCCAGACAATGTGCATGGTAGCATATTCAAAGATGAAGTTGAGTTCTGGTCATGCGATTGCATATTTGTGAAAGAAACGGTGTGGAATCAATCAGAAAAGGTTGATCATCTAGTATATAAGTATTGGTGTGTACTGCAAGGTTCATGAATCATCAAAATAATAAGGAATTTGGCCCATTCTTATTAAAGTAACAAGCACTGGCATAAAAAAAAATCAGGCCTCAATTTTAAGCTGTTACTTGACATATTTAGAATACCTGAAGGCGTTTGAATTAAGAGCCATGCCTTTCAGGGAACATTTTTCCTCTGAAGTTCTTTCACACTAGCATAAAAACAATGATAATGCTCACAAATTATTTTACACCTCAACCCAGAACTCAACCTTCTCTTTAAGTACAAGTTCATTTTTCCCTTCTAGAAAAACCTCCCTCCGCTCGATCACTGCCTGCAAATGGAGGTAATCCTTCGATGCCAGCGAGCCAGAGACGAGGTGTTTGGGAGGTAATCGCCACATACTACTCCTCATGCATTACATAGCTTGCATTCTTCCAACAGATTCTGATGGATTTTGGCCTACGGTGGCAGCAGAACATGAGAGCTGTAAAGTAGCGCTGATGCATTTGTCATGCCTCTGTTGCAATGCCTTTTTGCTCTCCGCTTATACTGCACGCTAGCTGCATACATACATTGAATTATTTAGAATTCCTAATTGGATTTAGGTTTATTCTCATTCGTTTCAGTTTTTTTCTCCATCACAGTAACAGTAAATTCAGATTACTACATGTAATACTAACCACGCTATACAAAAAACAAACAAAAAAACAAAATTGCTCACATGAAACCTTGTCCACCATTACATTTTGTAAGAAAGGAGGCAGACCTTCCTATTAAAACCTTGATCATGAATTGAAAATAATAAGAATATATCAAACAATCATTATGAACAGACTTGTCTATTCTTACTACATGTATATACTGAAGTAAGGACAAATGAATGTCTAGTTCTCAATGACTATAAAAAAGGTTCACATCTACATTTATTTTGGCAATGACCAACTTTCAATGCTTATTTGATTTTGCACACCACCATATGATCAGAGTAAGTGCAAATTTACAGATAAAATATAGATGCCCAATATTGGATGGACAATTAATCTACAATCCAAATTCAGATATTCAACTTGTCGACTTTGACGTGCGGTCTCTTCATCGGCAATGCAAACAATTCGACCCACGCATGCAAAGTAAGGTTCTACCGTCCGTCGGCCGTGCAAACATGGCTCCCCTGACGATTGAGTGAGACGATGGATCAATACCCATCTAGGATTGCATTTCCAATTCGCAACTTTCATCTACTCTGTTGCCAAGGACACAGCTAGAGGGCCTCGGTAATTAGAATGAGGGGCATTCAGTTGTTTTTCTTATACAAACTGTGCTGAATTCCCCACAAAGAACCAAGAGTTGTGAATAACCTACACTCTCTTATATTATTGTATAAAATCATACAATGGTCTAATAACCTTTTCAAACCAAGTCTCTATGTCTAAACACATAAAAATCATTGTAAATTAATTGATAAAAATATATTGGCCTAATTGTAGTCTGTGCCATGCATAACATATAATATAATTCAAATAAATAAGCATTCATGTTTTTAATTATTATAATAAAAACAATTTCATTCCTTTTTTGTTGAGTTGGTAAACATGATTTTCAAAAAGTCAATATTATTTTGATTGATGCTTTTCTCCCATTACTGCAAATTTCATATAACATCCAGCTACATGCAATTCTTGCTGATGTTGTTGATTGTTGTTGTTGTGGTGGTGGTTTGTTGTTTGTGTGTTTTGTTTGTTTTGTTTTTAGGGCACTACAATGCAGGAACGTAAGAACTGTGTAACCTCAATAGATATAATTCTTGTAAGATATGAGACTAGTTTGTGAATAAAAATAAGATTTCATCGAGGAAGCTGAAACAGCAGTATGACCCTGCACTAACACAAGACAAATGTAGCTGTCCTTGCACTGGCCCATAATACGTTTACAACTAACGTTCAGAACTGCAAGAAATGTACCCGTAAACTACAAGCTAAAAATGAAATAGAGGGCCACTCTGTGTATGAAACACACAAGCTCTTTCACTCCAAAAGTTAATCAGTTGTTTGTTTTCCAAATATCCCTTAAATCATGCTTTTCAGCCCAGCTGTTCATAACCAATCAAACCCGCCTGGCTTCGGGCATAAAAACAATCCTATCCCTACAATCTCGCTTGAGAAATCCCCCTGATAAAAACTGGCAAATATTCATAACAGGATTATCTACGAGATTATTTTTCTCAATGAACTCTGCCTGAGTTGAGGTGGTGAGTCACCAGTAGGGTATTCCATTGTTGACTCGCTCCATAGGAATTCCTCTATATTATGTAGTAATTCAGGATTCATATTCAACCAAAATTGTTGCACTGGAATTATTGATATTTGATGGAGATTTGTGTTGGAGGAACTTCATGAAAAGGAGAGAGAAATTCCTCTGTATTATAGGAATTAATACATGATGGAGAATTGGGCATTACATATGTTAGAACGAAATTCCTATGCTCTATGCTACATGTATGAAGTAATTCAGGATTCTTTTTTCAATCAATCAAAATTGTTGTACTAAATTTTGGATATCTGATTGAGAATTTGAGATCGCTTTTACAGGAACTCATACATGTACAAAAGGAAATCCTAGATACTATGAAGCAATGAAGGATTCTAATTCTGTAAAAAGTTGTTGCACTGCTAACATTGATATTTCATAGATCGTTTTAGAAGATCTCCTACATTATTAGGGAAATTATTTACTCTATATTTGGAACTAAAGCAAGATTCTATTCAATCAAAATCATTGAACTAAAGTTATTAATATTTGATGAAGAATTGAATATTGTTTCAGATAAAGTCTTACACGGATACAATGACGGAACTCTTCAAAGACAGCTATAATTAGTTTGAAGAAATACAGGATTCTTATTCAATCAAAATAGTTGTACAGGAACTATTTACATTTATATATCATGGAGATTGTTTTAAATTTAAAGGAACACCTACATGTACAGGTATGCGCCTGTATGTAGGAAACAAATTCCTCGAATGAATTAATAAACAATGCTTAAATTTATAAAGTTTGTTGCACTAGAATTACCAACATG